GTTTAACTGGTCAAATTTTCAGCTTACCAAGCAATCAGCAACCTAGGACGGTTGTCTACGTTCCTAGGAAATATAGAGCCTTCCCGATGGCACAATTCAGCACCTCAGACTACTACTAACTACGGTTAAAGTTGAATGTCCAGTTTCAGGAAGACAGCGAGAACGACCTTTAACAAGGCAAAACGTACAAGACTCAAAGAGGACTGGGGTATATATCAAGCCAACCTCAGAGAGTTCAAAAAGTCTGCAGACGAAAGCAAAGAGAAGCCTGGAGAGCCTATTGTGAGGCAGTCGAAGACTTCCCACTAGCTTCTAGGCTACAGAAGGCACTCTCAAATGACCACCATAAGAGTATCGGCATCCTGACGAGGGAAAATGGCGACAAAACCGCCAAACTCCAGGAGAGTGCTGAGATTCTTATGGAAACTCACTTCCCACTTTCTGTCTTTCCTGGAACGACGAACTGGACGGATGGACCAACAACACCCTCACAATACGACTGGCTATCTGCTAATGCAGTAATTGATGAGGACAAAATAAGATGGGCTATATCGGGCTTTTCCCCCTTCAAGTCACCAGGAAAAAAATCAAACGCTACAAAGTAAATCAATAAAAATTTTATTTCAAACCCACACAAATGATTTATTCTCACAGACTACCACACCCAATTGAATATCTACTTAAACTTGAGCAATACAAGAACATATATAAAATAAAAAACAAAAGAATCAAAAGCAACAACGATCTACTAGTCAACAACCAGTTTATGAGTATAATACACGGGGTAGAAATGATTTACACCTAAGCATGGTAAGAACGAACAAAGGATTATACAATCCTTTTACACAGGCTATAAAAGTCTTCAATGAATTATCTGTCCATATACGTGAGTTGCCGGGTTATAGTTCATTCATCAATAGTTTAAAAGAACATCTGAGCCTTGAGGCACATGTCTGATACTTTGATACTATGAGCTTAGTAGTGGTTTCACTTGTCATATTGAATGTTTGTGAATCCCGAGACCAGCATTTTTGCTGATTAGGGAGAATAACAACATATTTTATATTTACAATGTCTTAACTATGTTGAACTGTACGCTATTGTTATAATTTTAATTAAAAAAAATTGTGGTTGTCAGTGAGTCTTATAGATCCTATATGAGAGAATTCAAAACGGAATTAGCTGGGTAGGATGATGATGGGACATTGCGATAGCGATTGGTATGGGTAGGTTTTCGATAGACAGTGTGTGAGAAAGAGTTGTTGGACTTTGTGATGAGATCATCCAGGAATGAAAGATCTACATTAATGACATACCAACATAATCCATAAAAACACCACCTCAGTTATATTTGCTGATGATATAATTGGTGTAAGAATTTATATGAAGATTCTGAACAAAAACAACAGAAAAATTTTGAAAGTTGAATTTTTATCCTACTGGAAAAAACTCGAAGTATTGAAGAATTCTTATAAACTCAGACTCCGATATATTCATTGCCAATGACTTATCTCCCGAGGACCAAGTTATACATAAATCTTTACGTGGGTTTCTCAATATTGCTAAAGGAAACGGACTGAACAAACCGACAAAACAGATTATTCGTGAATGGTACCAAATATGCATTAGAACAACTGAGTTCGGATCCTTCTATAGTCTATGAAGTGAAGAGCACTGTCAATACACCCATCGATAATAATCAGGAAAAGAAAGAGCTGGCTTCGCGTGTGGACTCAGCCCCCAATAAACTCAACCTGAGAGAACGAAAAAAGTGAACATTCACAAAATTCCTTTGGATAGCTGAATTTACATGTCATTCTATTTCCTTTTTTTTCTTTTTTTTTTTAATTAATTTACTTCTTTTTTATTATCAATTTACTTATTGAATCTTAACTGAGATGCCATTCTTTATCTGCCACATTAACACTCGATCCATCATGAATGGGTTCCTTGAATTCAAACAAAAGGTATTTAACATTTATGATATCATCACTATATCAGAAACATGGTTAAGTAACAGGATACCTGACGATTCGATTTTACTGCCCGGATAAGTTCTCTTTCGAAAAGACCGCATAGGCCGTGGTGGAGGAGTTGCCATCTTTGTTAAAAATTATCTTTGTGCTAGCCAAATTACCAATTTACCTATAATAGAAACCGAACAGATATCCTTCCGCTTGAATAAAAATAAATATGCTGTCGGAGCCATATACCGACCACCCAATGAACATCCTCAGGCATTTTTATCAGAATTTGAAGATGTTATGTCGTACATCTATCCTTGTTTCAATTGTCTATGTTGGGGATATTAATATAGATTTTTTGGATGCAACGAACAAGCAACTCATAGAATTTGAAAATATCATTAAAGCATATGATTTACACCAGATCATTAACCAACCCACTCGTTACTCTTCTAACTCGGGTAAACTACTGGATGTCATTTTATGTTCTACAAATCTTCACCACACCGACTGTGCTATTGTGGATTGTTCGAGTTTTTCTGACCACTGCCTATCGTCTTGTACCATTGGAAGTTCTGTCGATAAACAACATTGTTTTCAGTACACTTATAGGGATTTCAAACGCTTTAATATCGAATAATTTTGTGTTGATATGCAAACCTGTGACTTCAGCAGTATTTATGAGGTAGATAATATTGATCTTGAAGTAGAAAAATTCAACTCTTTGATCTTAGATAACTTCAATGCTCATGCACCTATGAAAACTGTGCGCATAACTAAAAAAAAAGGCCGCTTGGCTGACCGATAATCTGAGGCTTTTGATGAAACTGAGAGACAAAGCTCTGTCGAAATATAGACGAAGTGGTCTGGCTACTCACTGAGATTACTACAAACAGTTGAGAAATCTCACTAATAAAACAATAAAGCTTGAAAAACAAAGCGTATCTAGAGTTTCAACTCCGTCACAAAAATAATATTTGGAAAAAACTCTCTGATCTTGGTTTAAGTAGCAGACATCCTAGAAAAACTATTCCCGATCATTTAAAGATTTCAAATGAAATCAATAAATTTTTTTGTGAAAATAATTCTCACAATAGTCAACCAGATGATAATTTTCTCTCATTTCTCTCTAAAAATAAAATGAATACTCAAAATAATTTTCGATTTAGGAGAACATCCGAAAAAGAGATCTACGAATTCATGCTCTCAGTGAAATCTAATGCTGTTGGTCCCGATAGCATTAGCATTAAAATGCTACTTCATTCTAGTCCTTTTATATTACAGTTTATAGAACACATTTTCAACACCTGTATCAATTTTAGTGTATTTCCTACAACCTGGAAGCAATCTCACGTTCACCCTCTATGTAAAGTCAACGATCTCCAGAATTTCAGTGACCTCCGCCCGCATTTTATGTGCCATATCTAAAATCCTAGAAAAAATCCTCAATAAACAAATCCGTGAGTTTCTGGAGGAAAATAAAATATTACCATCGTTCCAATCAGGTTTCACAAATCAATCGATAGCAATGAACTTTCCGTTCTTGTATTAATAGACTTTTCCAAAGCTTTCGATAGAATATGCCATCGGCTTTTAATTGCCTTATTGAAATATCTTGGATTTGCGAACTCTTCTGCCGTTCTAATTGATAACTATTTGAACAGTCAAAACCAATGTGTTATTCTGGATAATCAGCCTTCAGATTATCTTGGAGTTTTTGCAGGTGTCCCTCAAGGGTCTATCCTTGGCCCTGCATTATTCGTGATATATACGTCACAATTTCCCAGATGTCTCAAGTATACTAAAATTCACAGTTACGCAGATGACACTCAAATCTATATGCAATTTCTTGAAAGTTCACTGGCAATAGCTTGCCAACAAATCAACCAAGATCTGAATTCGTTATTAACCACCTCTAAAAAATACTGTCTAATAATCAATCCTTCTAAAACTGTTGCCATGCTATTCGGGAGGACAGCAATGAGAAAAAGATGTCAAAATCAAGTTTCGATTTTTCTTGATCATGTTAATCTTTGTTTGTCTGAGCGCACTAAAAATCTTGGTCTCACAATAGATCAGTCTCTCAGATTTTCACCTCATGTTTCACTAATCCTGAAGAGGGGATATTGCAGCTGGAAAACTATATATTCGAATAGGGAAATTCTCAATAGACAGACCAAGAAATTGCTATGTGATGCCTTGGTACTATCTCACGCAAACTACGCGGATACTGTATATGGCCCAAGTTCATAATATAATCTCTACGAAAGTACCGAGTTATCTTTATGAAAAGATCAGCTTTCGCACCGACGTTCATCACCTGAACTTGAGATTCAAACATCATCTAGCCACCCCATCCTATAAAACTTCATTATTTCGATGCTCCTTTTCATATAATATATCTCGGCTGTATAATCGACTCCCTGACTCATTGAAGTCACTGTCGCTTGCAAAATTCAAAAAAATGCTGAAAGATGATTTACTTTTAAATGAATTTCTTCTACCAAATTTATTGTCTAGCTGTAAATAATGATCCACTTATATATGTGTGTATATGAATGCCTATGTGTATATACAAGCAAATATCTGTTTCTAGGTAAAATAATTAGCCAACATTTTTCTGTTTCTTTACTAGTTTTCATTATTGTTTTGTAGGCGAATTATTAGTTAACATTTTTCTATTTTTTTATTGTTTTTTCATTGTCGTTCATTGAACGAAATAAGGATAGGTGACAGCATAAGTGGTTAATGATTAGAACTCATTTGTAATTATTGTTATAAAAACGGTTGAATGGAAGAGCAAGTTCTGAGTGCGTTACTCAAATGACAAGATCAGAACCCGAATTCTGCCTTTTGACAAAAATGTAGGATATCATTTAAGAACTGCCTGTTTTTTTAAATTTATATCTACTATATGTTGTACTGCATTTTGTCAATATTAGCAATTATTATTATTATTATATGTATCTCTTACTTTTTACGAGTTTCCTATGCCAAAACTCGAGCTTGAATAGCCCCGTATATTACCGTACTTACCAACTTGAGGAGGAGGCCTATCAATAGGCAAAATTGGAGGAAGGTCCTTGGGCGGTTCCAAATCTGGAGATTTGTCACTAGGAGTATTTACTTTGGGACTATTTGAATTACCAACATCATCGAGTTCCACATATGAAACTGGTTTATGGGATCTTGTACTCTTTCTTGGGCTAGACTCCATAGATGCATCTTGAAACAAAAACGTTACTGAACATTGTTAATACAAATAAGAAGTGTCTTACCAACTTTGATGACAGTATTTGGTGCTAAAGAAAGATCATCAATTATTGTCATTCCTTTAAATGACTGATAATTTGGACGAAACTGATTGTATAAATTCAGTTGTATTCCATCTAGAATGCCTCTGATTTCCTTAACTTTTTCTGATAAATGATTATAGTTCTCTACAATAAAAAAATATTACAAAATGATCATCTTACCATGGAGACCTATAAACCTTCAACATCTTTACTTTCCATCCTGACATGTGCAGCTTCCAATTCATAACGGTTTTCAAAATTGACACTTTCCAAAGTTTCATGTATTATTTCATCAATATTTTCACTTATAAAATTGAAACTCTCTTTATCAATATATTCCACTTCTTCTTCTTTCCTTTCATCTTCTTCATCGCTGTCCTCAATTTGCAATGTTTCATTTATAATTGGATAAGTAACACCCAAAATGAGATTTCCCTCTTTCAATTCTGTACTAAGTTTATCAAAATCTTCTATTGATTTACTGTAACATTCTTTGCAAATCTCTTCTTTGTAAGATTTTGAACGTTTAACTCGGTAATAAGAGAGGCAGAAGTCTGGGGCTAATACAAAATCATTGTTTATTCCCTCACAAGCTGAATTGAGACATCGACTATTGTGAGGTTTTTCTACTAAGTCAATTATATCTTTCACTGGAGGAACACTGCTTGAAGTGGATTTGATGTTGGTGGAAGCTGACTGATCTATAATAATTAATAACAATAATTAATTAATATTTTATAGAATTTAAAAATAAAAAACCGACTTCTATTCTCTCAAATTTAGAAGTCACAAATGAAAATTTATCTTTGTTTGAAGGTGGTTGACAATGTTTCGTGGTGTATTTCATCAGTTCGGATTTCCATTGTCTAATATAATATAAATTGATTTGAAATCCCTGAAAGAATCTGTAAAAAATTAAAAAGATCAACCGAAAAATAACAATTTTTATTAAACAAAAAACTGAAATTACAAACAAATAACCAACAAGCAACAACCAAAAAATAGAAAAAGTCCGATCTGATAAAAATGTATCTGATTCGATAGTAATTTCTGTTTAACATCTCAATATTCAATGAACTCGAAATAAATTATATTTCGGTTGGTCCCATCTGAATAGATCACCCTGTAGTAGTACCTCTATGACTGATATGCGCAAGTTGAAAGAATGAATCACCGTCCCCGTCACCTTACGATAATACCCAAATACGCTTCAATATACTTCTTGCGCTGAATGTGTCAAGTTCGTGAAAGTGGAAGTGAATAAAATAAGTGAAGTAAGTGAAATTAGGAAACTGAGGAAACTTGAGAGAAACCTTCGTTTGTACTCGTCAAGTAAGTAAAATGGCTTTAACGTGTTTTCATGTTTTAGAACCCAACCAGAGAAGTAGAAACATTGGAAGACAATAAGATTGACAATGATTTATGATCATTGATCATCAGCAGGGGACGTTAATACAGCCAATTATTAGTCATTTTAGTGCCCTTCATTCTCCGCACAGTTTCTGACTTTGCCAGCCGAGAGTCTCGATCACATTAGCCCCCAATTGGTTTTTATGCAATTTTTTTGTTAAACCGATAGCGGTGTAGTATTGGGTTTTTACCATTAGATGTGGACAAATTTCATTAACATATTATGAACCGCCAAATACATACCGAATGAAATATTCAAGCAATGGTCAATATTTACCTTTTTCTGTTGACACAGGTCCGGAGTCAGATTCGACATCGGAATATTCCGATGCCAACAGCGAGTTCTCCCACAATGGTTACCCAGTTAAAAACATACTAGGAGGGGACCCGGCTGAAGTCTTATAGGGCTAATATCAAGGACGATCTGGCGCTAAGGTGAAACACCTACATAAGACAGGGTCTGGGCAAATGAACAAAAAATGACTAGATGAATAAATGGCTCATTTCAGCAATTGTACGGCTTTAAATGCTCCTAAGTTGAATCCGGAAGTCCAAATGTAACTCTCAACAACTTAGTTGGAAAAAAGAAGGATTTCTCATAGATCTTCAAATCCCATTGGGGATGGGTTTATCAGCCTTAGGTGCGAATATAACAAGTCTACTGTTTGATGAAAATGCGGAAGCACTCGAAACAAAATAGTCAAGACTTGGTAGGTAGACGCCGGAAAACTATTTGCAACATACATAACTCAATTTCAAACCACAGAAAATTTCTTATTACGTCACGTTTCAACCAGAAAATTCAGAAAGTTGCAGTTGCTCAATCACCTGATGCCCTACTGTTTGGAGATTTCAGTGAGAAGTGCAAAGCAATGAAATCCCTGGAATATACGGCAAAAGATCAAAACAGATGAAATCTCAGTCATCCACTTCAAAAAACTTCCAAGGGCCCTGCCTTACGCAGACGTTGGAAATCTTTCAAAAATCAGGGGAGGGGACATTATTCGAGCAGACACAAGCTACAACAACATAACAGAGGTCTGAGTTCAAAAACAGAAACCAAGGAGGGCGGTACAAGACATATAACAAGAAATAGAAGTAAATCATGGAAAACCATATGCTGGTTGAATAAAAAATAACGCTTGGAAACAATAACAACCAATACATATGTTTTAGAGTCGGCATGTTCTCAAGCCGCCTACAATTCCACCTAAGAAATTGAACTTCTATTACGAAAGTTTAAACATACTGATGAAAATTGGCGTCATCAATCTAGAAGACAAATATGAAAAACAATTTTTGTCTGGTTATTTTCTAAGGTTAAAATCTAATGGTAGTTATAGATTCATTCTGAATCTCAAACAACTAAATACATAACAGCCCCTCGTTTCAAACTAGAAGATACGCAAAGTGAGAAAAATCTGGTGTCAAAAATTGTTTTTTGGCATCAATAGATTTGACAGATGCATATTTTTTCATCCCGATTATTAGTGAACACAAAAAATAATTACGACATCAATTCGAAAACAAAATTTTTGAGTTTCAGTGCTTATGTATATTACTGGTGTTTTTTTTCCCAACACCAAACCGTTATTTTAACATCTCGACACGTGTTTCGATCACCAAGAGGAAGATCAAACTGAAACACGTGTCGAGGTGTTAAAATAACGGTTTGGTGTTGGGAAAAAACTCCAGTAATATTCATTACTACACCAAAGGTTACAAACAGTGCATCACAAGTTTCAGTGCTTATTTTTTATTTATTCGTAGGCAAGCGATTCGACGTGGGTGCTTTGTTCACTCACTCAAATTAACTGCCGTGTTGGTCGGTGGTTCAACCCCAGTTTGAACGATCGATTTTCACTTGCTATCGTCCAACCCGTGTTAGGAATCACACGTTAAAAGGTAAGACCTCGTTAATCCTTAGCACGCAAAAGTTTCGACTTCTGAGAGTTGTCGTTCGTAGGGGAGCGACAGCTGGTTAACGAAAAAACAGTTTTTTTTAAACCTTATGTTTTTCAAAAATCTTAAAGCCTGTCCTACATTTTCTTAGCAATAGAAATTTCATATCAGTGGCTTATTTGGACGACATCTTATTAATAAGTAATGATAGAAATGAATGTTTAGAAAATATTCATCAGACTTGTGGTACTTTGGAAAAATTAGGTTTTATAATCAATAAAGAAAAAAGTTGTCTCAAACCTACCGAAACAATTACCTTTTTGGGCTTTACTTTCGATACAGCCATACTAGAAGTGAGAGTTACTACTGAAAAGAAGTCAAAAATAAAAAAATATGTGATGAAACTGAGGCAAACTCGAAAGTAAGGAAATTTTCCAAGTTAATTAGACATTTAGTTTCTGTTTGCCCTGCGGTGAAATATGGATGGCTCTATACAAAACTATTTGAGAGGCACCGATATTTGGCTTTGAGGACCAATCAGGGAGATTGTAACAGTGTGATGAAATATTCCAGTGAGTTGAGTGATGACTTTGATTGGTGGATAATTCATATCGAGAATGCTAAATAAGACATGAATTTTCCAAAGTATAGTATATAAATTTTTACGGATACCTCTAAAAGTGGTTGGGGGCAAGTTACAACAACGAGGAAGCTAAAGGATTTTAGGGCTCAGGGGAGACCAGATTGCATATCAATATTCCGAAATTAAAAGCAGCCTTTTATGGGCTCGAAACGTTTGGGAGCATTTCTCAAACTGTCACATTTTGTTACGAATTGACAACAAAACTGTCATCACTCACATTATTTAGATGGGAGGCATAAAATACTCAAAACTTAACAAAACAGACAGAGATATGTGGAAAAGATGTGAGAGAAGGAACATAATATTTATCTAGTACATAAAGTAGAAAGACAATGTTAGAGAAGATCAATGTTCTAGATCTAGAGATTTTGAAACTGAATTTTGTTTAGGCAACTACGCGTTTTGAAAGCTGATAAGGAAATTTGGGCAACCGGAACAAGATCTGTTTGCTAATTATTGCAACACAAAATGTCAAACATGTATAGCATGGTAAGTTGGTAAACATGAACCAATCAATCAATCAATCGTTTGTTTGATTCTGTGGAACATACCAAGTTATAGGACAAGTCAATTTGGAAAAAAATCCTACAATTAAAACACAAAACATTGAGAGTATCAACACTCAACATGGAGAATATAAGCATATAATTAAAATTAAACTGATTATGACAATCTGTAAGTCAAATGGTATGAAATTAAAACTAAATCAATTCTAGGAATTTTTGAATTGAGTAAGGACACAGATCTTACAAGACTTGTTTTAGTTGTTTTTTAAATGTATAAGTTGGCAGACTTTTTAGATTGTATGGGAGAAAGTTGTACAGGTACAAACCAAAAGTATTTGGTGCTCTTTTGGATAATTCCAGGTTTTTGAAGGGCATGTAAAATTTATCTTTATTTCTTGTATTGTGAGTAAGAGTGTCAATGTTTCTTAAAAAGGTATTTCGATTGCCATGTATGTACGTCATTAGCTCAGAACGAATATGCCAGTAACTGTTGATATTTTGTATTCTTAAAAAAAAATCGAGTTATCAGGTGGACAGCCCACGAGACATCTTACGATGCGCTTCTGAAACAAAAAAATACTATGTACCGCTGGGGTATTTCCCCAGACAAGAATTCGATAGGAAATTCTGGAATGGATTTCGGCATAGTAGTATTTAAGGAGATGGTTCACACTAAGATCACTTTTTAAGTTTTTTAACTGATAGCACTTTGAATTGAAATTTTAACTTAGTTCAGTGCGATCTAAAAGACAGGGTGGAATCAAAGAATACTCCTAGGAATTTAATATTTGTTACTGTATCAATTATACTGTTATTTTAATTGATACTCGGAGTCGGTATTTTTTAAGTTTTGATGAGTATGAAATACTGTTTAATAAGTTTCACTGGAGTTCAGTAACAAGGCTCTGTCAAAGGACCAAGCAGATAACTGGTTGACTGAATTTGTAATTTTTATTTGTAGATATTCATAATATTTAGCTTTTAATAGTAGAGTGGAGTAATCTGCATATAATGTGGTAGAAGTATCCGATAAGGTCATGGACAGATCATTAATATATAAGATAAACAATGTAGAAGATAAACAATGTAGGCACCAATATAGATCCTTGTGGAACTCCTAGTGCATTAATATCTATTTATGAGATAATATATCTCATTAATTCGGATATTTTAACCATTTGAGATCTGTCTTTCAAGTACGAGTCAAACCAATCACAGGTAATACCTCTAATTCCATACGTATACAACAAGTTTAGTAATGTGCCATGGTGAATGCAGTAAAAAGCACGGCTGAAATCGCATAAGATTCCAGCAGGGCTCTCACCGTAGAAACATGTTTTCGCTGCTGTGTTTGAAGTGAAAACCATGTTGATTGTTATCAATTATTACGTACTTATTTAAAAAGCTCGTAAGCTGTTCAATCATAGTATGTTCGATTATTTTTGGGATTACAGAAGGTACTGATAGTGGTCTGTAGTTTTCGATCTTTTTAGGGCTTCCTTTCTTCGAAATTGGAGTAATTATAGACGTTTTCAGCCTACATGGCTGAAAATGAGTTTATAATATGACCCAATGGAGCAAGTATGTAAGGTCCTATCTTTTTAATGACAGTTCCAGAGAATCCAAAGCCCATCTATTTGAGCAATAAACATGCTAGTTCTTTTAGAATCGTTTTTAGGATATTGAATAGGAATAACTGGATTAAATATGTTATTTAAGATGTCTTATTGTAGATGTTTTATTGTAGAGTTATTTATTTTATTGAAATAAAATTGGCTCTTTATACCTTTAACAAGTGCCCTATATGCATGAATATTTCCGCCATTTTCTTTTATTCCTAAAATGTTGGTGGAACTTTTGTGAGGGAAAACTGGATAAAGTTTATGAGCCATCAGTGCAGGAGATATTGGCATTTATAAATCAAGAGTTTCACGAAGGTAAAAATTATAGTACTTCAAACACTCATAGATCAGCATTGAATCCGATTTCAGACACAGTAATATGTGATTTAGTGGAAAGATTCATGAGGGATGTTTTCAAAACTCGCCCTATGTTTCCTCGATATGAGGAAATGTGGGGTCATCATGAAATCTTGATGGAAGAGCAAGGTCAAAATGGTCAGAATCCTGCCACTTGATAGGAGGTTATATTTTCATACAGGTAGCTATAGCTGCCTACGTGGTCATGTTAGATGTAGCCTGGGAATTCTAGGTCTTCTAACTGGAACCACAAATGTGCGGTTGGCTCCTGTTGTTGACTCCATGCATATGTGTTGTTTCCTGCTTTTGGCAAACAAGTGTTGCCCATCTTTACACTTGGCTGCACCGCGATGATGAGGCCAATAGCCAGAAACACGTGTCCGCGGTTTGCCCCACTTTTGGAGTGTTGTGTCCACTCAAACGTTGTTTTGCCATGTAAATTATTTTTAGGTAATTTCTAGTGTAGATAAAAATAACTTATTG